CACCACCACACACATATATATAAACTATCTAATTATAAATATTAATATAATTATATATATAATATATTAATATATGTGTTTGTGTTGTGTGTGTGTGTTGAGTATTAGTGTGTGTAGTGTTGTGTGTGTGTGTATGTGTGTGCCGTTGTGTTAAGTGTGTACGTATATTATAAATAATATATATATGTATTATATAAATATTATTATATATATATATATATATATTAATATATAATATATATTATATATTAACTATATAATTAAATTATCACTCCAACACCTNTTTGTAGATTACAATGTGAAAATTATCAATGGTCTGGTTGTTGATTAAGAATGCGGGGGATTAATTGTAAAAAAATATTGAATATTTGCAGATTACAATGTGAAAATTATTATTAATGGTCTGGTTGTTATTAAGAATAGGGGATTAATTGTAAAAAAAATGTATTGAATATTTGTAGATTACAATGTGAAAATGATTATTAATGGTCTGGTTGTTATCAAGAATGGGGGATTAATTATAGAAAAATATTTGTATTGAATATTTGTAGAGTACAATATGAAAATGGTTATTAATGGCCTGGTTGTGATTGAGAATAGCGGATTAATCGTATAGATATTTATGTTGAATATTTGTAGATTACAATCTGAAAATGATAATTAATCATCTGATCGAGACTGTGAGGAGAATGTGAGATTTCATGTACACACATTTGTATAAAACATTGATAGAATACAATGTAAGATCATTGATAAAGGAGTTAACGATTAAAGTGAATGTGCAATATTGCTTGGGAAGATAGTTTGATGAAGATGATGTGCAAGATGAATTGTCTGAATCGTATCCATAGCGACGAATATAGACAAGTTATGAATGAAATAGATTATGTTCAAAATACAACAGATTTATTTAACCGGTTACGAGTTTATTTCTGTCGGAGATAAACATTAAATACATGCATTGTGAAAAAATATTCGTTCGTTTTCATACCTTTTCTACACACGTGGTCTGTTGTGTGTTATGTAGTGTAGTGTAGATGCGTGTAAGTGTGTAATATCCTGTCGTAATAATGGTGATATTACGGAATATGCTCGGCACATTGCAAGGCCTCGGGCGCCTTTCATCGACCATGAAGGGTGTCTATGTCTGTCTGTTTGTCTGTCTGTCTCATTCTTTCTCTCTCTCTTTTTTCTTCTGCTTTTATCTACTAATCTATCTAATCTCATTCTCTCTCTCTCTCTCTCTCTCTTCTCCTCTCTCTCTTCTCTCTCTACCCTCTCTTCTCTCTCTCTCTATCTATCTATATCTATCTACTCTTAATCTCATTTCTCTAATCTCTTCATTCTATCTCTCTAATTCCTTATCGCTCACCGTCCCTCTCCTTCCTCTCTTCCTTCTCTCCTCTCTCTTCTCTCTCTCCTTTCCTCTCTCACTCTTTCTCTCTCTCTCTCTCGTCCTTCCTTCTCCTCTCTCTCCTCTCCCGCTGCTTCTCTCTACATCTCCCCATCTCCTTCCCTTCCCCTGTACATTTGAAACTTACACATCTCCTTCATCTTTGGCCTCCTCACCCCCGCCCGCGGTCCTCCTTATCCCCTACCCCTTCCCTCACTCCCGCTCAAAGGTCTGTGCTCAGTCGCGGTCCTCTTCGCTCCATGCCTGGAGCCTGGCGTGCTTCGGGAGCTCGCGGTCGCAGAAGTCTTCCCCCGCCCTCTCCATGGCTTCTCAAATCCCACACTCATGTATTTATCTCTTAACCCTTTTCCCTGTTTCAACGCAATTCTTACTCCACTTTTCTATTTTCTGCCCTCTCCTCTCCTGTCTCCTCTCCCTTCTTCCTCTTTCAATCTCTCCTCACCTTGCCGCCATTCGGTTTCCCTTCCTCCCTCCTTCTTAACTATCTCTTTCCCAGTCCCCTCCTCTTCCCCACTTTACGTCAATCTCCGCTCCATATTCTCGCCTCCGTTTTCATTCCCCTCCTTCCTTCCTCCTTCTCTACTTCATCTTCCCTTCACTCTGCATTTCTCTGTCCCATTTTATCTGCTCCCCATTTTCTCCATTCCTTCCTCCTCTCCCTTGATATTCTCCTTCTCTTCTTCCTCTCCTTACCTCTTCCTCTACATTCCTCTCATTCCCTGCCCCTCCCTCTCTTTACCGTCATACTCTCCCCTTGTCCCTTACCTCCCTTTCACCAATCCCCCCTCTCTTACTGCACCCTCCCTTCTCCCATATTTTCCCCTCCCCCCTCCCTGTCCTACCCTCCTCCCTTCCTCACATGTTTCCCTTCCACCATTTTTCTTATCATCTTCCCCTCCCCCCTTTCCTCCCCTTCCTCGTCCAACTCCCGCCCCCCCTTTTCTATTCTGCCGTTCCTTCCCATTCCTCCTCTCACCCTCCCAGCTACCCTTCCATATCTCCTCTCCTTCTTTCCTTCCTTCCTCCCCTTCCTCCCCACCCCCCCCCATCTCAACCCTCAGACAAGTCAACAATATAGTATAGAAGGCGTGGCGGTTTCACTCTCTCTCGCGCGCGCTGCCTGCCTCGCCGTGAAGTGCTTTGAAGGGAAACTTTGGCTTCGGAGCGTTATTACCTTCGACCCTCGGAGGATAGCATACTCCTTAGCCTTGTTCTGAAACCTTTTTCGCGCTCCTTTCCTCATCTTTTTTATTCATTTATTTATTTTATTTTACTTTCTTTTCTTTTTCTTCTTTTTTTGTTATTCCTTTTTTCTTTTCTTTTCTTTCTGTTTTTTGTTCCTTCTTCTTTCTTTTCTTTCTGTTTTGTTTTTTCTTCTTTTGTTTTTTCTTTCTTTTCTTTTCTTTCTTTTTTTTTTTTTGGTGGTGGTGTTAGTGGTGGTGATGATGATGGTGATGACCTTTCGCTCCTTGCCCCTCTCTTGATCTTTTTTCCGATTTTCCTATCATGGCGTTGATGATAATGGTGGTGTTGATGGTGGTGAATGATCGTGATGGAAGTGGTGTTGATGGTGGTGAATGATGATGAATGATTTTTATGAATAATAATAATAAACAACAATGACAATGCTGATAATAACGATAATAATAACAATAATGAATGTGGGGAAAAATCAAGTAAAAACAAATGTCACAGCTATAAATGTCACTTTTTTTCATTATCAGTTAAATGTCACAAATAGTGATAGAATCGTGCGATGAGGATGGTGTGGCAAGATGAATACGCGTTGTCCGAATCGTATCCATGGCGACAAATATTAGAAAAAAAAAAGTATGAATGAGATGATTTCCTAAAAATCTCAAATGTTTAATTGATATCTAATTGCAGATAGTGAAATTAATTATAATGATAAAAATAACAATAGCATAGTGATAGTAATGATAATTTATATGATGATAATAGTAATGATAATAATAATAAAAATAATGATTATGATATTGTTGATGAAATGATGATAATGATAACAACAACAATAATGATAATAATAATCATATAATAGAAATACTAACAGTGATAATACTGATAATGATAACAATTGTGATAATGATTGTGTGAAGACGATAACATTGATAACAACAGCAATAATAATGATAATGATTATAATAATAGTAATCGAATAATATAAGGGAAAAAAAGAAGAAACTTTTAGAAAATCCCCCCCCCTCACTCTCTCTCTCTCTTCTCTCTCTCTCTCTCTCTCTCTCTCTCTCTCTCTCTCTCTCTCTCTCTCTCTCTCTTCTCTCTCTTTCTCTCTTTCTCTCTTCTCACTCACTCTCTCTCTCTCTCTCTCTCTCTCTCTCTCTCTCTCTCTCTCTCTCTCTCTCTCTCTCTCTCTCTCTTCTCTCTCTCTCTCTCTTATCTATCTATCTATCTATCTCTCTCTTATCTCTCTATCTCTCTCTGTCTCTCTGTCCTGTCTCTTCTCTCTCTCTCTCTCTCTCTCTCTCTCTCTCTCTCTCTCTCTCTCCTCTCTCTCTCTCTCTCTCTCTCTCTCTCTCTCTCTCTCTCTCTCTCTCTCGTCTCTTCTCTCTTCTCTCTCTCTCTCCTCTCTCTCTCTCTGTCTCTTTTCTTTCTCTCTCTCTCTTCTTTCTTGGAAGCAGGATACAAAAAAAAAAAGAAAAGAGACAGAAAAAACGATGATAAACAAGAAGACGAAGAGAGAAAAAAAAAGAAAAGAAAAAAGAAAGTGTAATGCAACAGCGCACTCGAGCTTCAACATCACGCAACACACAATCACCTTGCAAAACCTCCACAGATGGGGTCATTCAAGCACTTCAGAGCCATCGAAGCGACAAACCACCGCCAGCTGTCTTGAAAGATGACGCCACAGCCTCTGAAATCATCTGAAATTATTTTAAAGTATCTGAAGTTATTCTAAATCATCTGGAATCATCTGGTTACTTGAATCATTCTGAAATCATCTGAAATTATTTTAAAGTATCTGAAGTTATTTTAAATCACATGGAATCTGAAATTACTTGAAATCTTCTGGAATCATCTTTAATTATTTGAAATCCTCTGAAATTATTTGAATCTGAAATGATTTGAAATCCTCTGAAATTATTTGAATTATTTGCCTCTGAAATTATTTGAAATCCTCTGAAATTTTGAAATCCTCTGAAATCCTCTGATTTGAAATCCTCTGAAATTATTTGAAATCCTCTGAAATTATTTGAAATCCTCTGAAATTATTTGAAATCCTCTGAAATTATTTGAAATCCTCTGAAATTATTTTAAACATTCTGAAATCATCTGATTTCATTTGAAATTATCTTAAAGTATCTGAATTCATCTGGAGTCATCTGAAATTATTCTAAACCTTCTGAAATCATCTGGAAGTATTTGAAATCATCTGAAATTATTTGAAATCATTTGCAATAATTTCAAACCTGAAATCCTCTGAAATTATTCTGAAGTATCTGAATTCATCTGAAATCATCTGAAATTATTTTATACCTTCTGAAATCCTCTTAAACCTTCTGAAATCATCTGAAATTGTTTTCAACCTGAAATCATCTGCAATCATCTGAATTTATCTTAAACCTTTTGAAACCTTCTGAAATCATCTGCAATCATCTAAAATCAGCCTCATCGTGGCTAACCGATAACAGTCGAATAACCAAGGAAGGTATTTCTGTGACAGAGGGAAATGCGTTATGGTTTCTGAGAAAAAGTTATTGGATATAGAAAAGCGAATCTTCATCTGTTTCCTACAGTTTACGTGTGCGTGGTGAGTGTATGAGTGTGCGGTTACGTTTGTCTTTATGATACTCTACGTGTGTATGTGTGTATAATTTTGTGTGTGTGTGAGGGTGAGGGTGTATGTGGAGGGTGAGGGGTGTGTGTGTTTTTGTGTGAGGGTGAGGGTGGTGTATGTGTGTGTGTGTGAGGGTGAGGGTGTGTGTGTGTTGTGTGTGAGGGTGTGTGTGTGTGTGTGTGTGTGTGTGTGTGTGTGTGTGTGTGTGTGTGTGTGTGTGTGTGTGTGTGTGTGTGTGTGTGTGTGTGTGTGTGTGTGTGTGTGTGTGTGTGTGTGTGTGTGTGTGTGTGTGTGTGTGTGCGTGTCCGTAACATCCAGTGACTTTTTTATTGAGACATATGTAATATAATGTTATTTACAAGTCCGATATTCATGTTTACTATATTCAAGCGACTGTACGATGACTGCCAGACTTGCAAATGATCATATAAACTAACTGTTCTTATGTAAAATAGTTGCATTTTTAATCGATCTATTTGTGCAAAATAGAAGAGGGAATTAACCATAGAACAGATAGAAGACAGACAGGCACACACCTCGGAAATTTTCCAAAATTTTAACCAGCACACTATATATATATATTACTATATTATATACATATATATATATATATATATATTATATATATATACTATATATGTATTACTATATATATACTATATATATATATATATATGTATATATATATAATCTATATTCAACAATACCAATGATTAAGGAATATTAAGGATTGATTGTGAAGAAAAATCTACCGTAGTTCCATTTGGCAGATAGATTACCGAGCCCAGCTGAAAGAAAGGAAAGAAAGAAGAAGAAAAGAAGAAGAAGAAGAAGAAGAAGAAGAAGAAGAAGAAGAAAGAAAAAAAAAAAACAATTGACTAAACATCTAAAGTTTACATTATCAAGATATATCAAAGCCTATAATGTATTATTTTCTCTAGCTAAGGCTCTCGGAAAATAATTAAACCCAAAAGTAATAGTAAGAAAGCTTTATACATTTGCATAATATTTTAATAAGGACTCTTAATATCAAAAACAAAAAATCTTAAAAATTTCTTCATATTTTTCCCTTCGTTTCCCTCTCTCCAGCTCCTTCCATCAAAAGAATTAACTCCTCTTGAATTTAATTCTCATTTATTCTGTATCTCCCTAATTAAATAACCATATTAATGAGAATAAAATAGATCTTAGATATGTAACAGATTCAGATTCATGCGAAGTGAAATGAAGTTAGGAAGTAACTACCTCGGGAAAAATATTACCTGTCAACAGCAATAATGGTGATAATAGTGATAATATCTTTCATAATAATCACAATATCATAATAAAAACAAAACGATAACGACAACATGATAAGGATGATAATAATGATATGATGATAATGATAAGGATGATGATAATGATAAGGATGGTAATAATGATAAGGATGATAATAATGATAACAATAGTAATAATGAAAATAATGAAAATGATAATGATAATGATGATAAAAATATTGACAATAATAACAAACAGTGGTGCGATAATGATGATGACGATGATAGTGATTATGATGATAATAATAGAGACTGTAATAGTAGTAATGATAATGATACTAACTGTAATGATGATTATGATAAAGATAAGGGTAGGATTGATAATGATGATAATAATAATAATGATGATAACAATAATATTATGATAATAACGATAATAAAATTAATAATAACAATAGTAATAATAATAGCAATGCTGATGATAATAATAATAACGATAGTAAAAATAACAGTATTAATGATAATGAAAATAATATCACGATGATAATAATAACAATGCTAAAGAATTAGTATGATTAACCTTCACGTAAATGCGATAAAACGGCCTTTAATATATTGCAAATAAAATTTCAGAAACAGCTGTATGCTAACGTTGCTATTAGGAACCAACTTCTCGTGTCCATAAGGTTCTTTTTCATATTCATTCAGCGTGTTAGTCTTTCCTTATGTATAATGCAAAGAAAAATATCAAATCACGAACAAAAATGAATAAAGAAAAGAGGTAAGAGACAAGTAGAGCATAAAGATTAAAAATAGAGGGATGGGGAAGGATAATAAAAGGTTGAATTGAGGAAATAGAGAAGAAAAGAGGAAGAGAAACCGAGTTAAAAGAACACTTCATAAATCATGGAAGGCATGTTGGAGTCTGAATGAGCAACGAAGGGAGATAGGAAACGAAAAGAACAAAGAAGGGAATTGGAGACAGGAGACATGAAGAGAAACGAATGGAAGTGGGAGACAGGAAGAGAAACGAAGGGAAATGGGAGACAGGAAGAGAAACGAAGGGGAGTGGGAGACTAAATGAGCAACAAAGGTAAATGGGAGACTGATAGAGCAACGAAGGAAGATGGGAGACAGGAAGAGCAACGAAGGGGGACGGGAGACTGAAAGAGCAAAGAAGGGAACTGGAGACAAGAGACAGGAAGAGCAACGAAGGGGGAAGTGAGAGATCAAAAGGACAACGAAAGGAAATAGGAGACAATAAGAGAAACGAAGAGAAGTGGAAGACGGAAAGACCAACGCAAAGAAAATATGACTTAACCCTCCATAGATACCAGTGTAGCGCTACGATGAGAGACAAGAGAAAATAAAGAATAATAAAAGCAAGAAAAAAGAAAAAAAAACAGCGTCTATTTCCATTCCTTTGTGTTCAATTCGTATATTTTTTCTATCATTACTGTTATTAGCGATTGAAAAATATCAAATTTCATTTAAAATTTTTCAAATTTTCCGACAGAAGGTCATTTAGAAATGCTTTGATTTGAAATAATACAAGAATGAATATATGTATATGTTTATACTTCATCATATCTGGTTTTGAGTACAAAAAAGGAAAATGGAGTGATGGGCGATAAGAATTATAATAATAAGATAATATAAATAATAATTATGATGATGATAATGATAATGACAATAATGATAATAATAAAATATCAATTATGATGATAATAATGATAATAGTAAGAAGGAGGATAACAAATGATAATAATAAAAATAATATATTAATAACAATTATAACAACAACAATACAACAACAAGAACAATAATAGTAATAATAATAATAATAATGATAAATTATTATTATAACAATAATACTAATAAAAATCTACGGATATGAGTTGTCACGTTTCACTATGTCTATAATCGATGTTAATTTTTCTATATTTTCCCTTATATCATGGGTATAAATATAAGCATATAGTCGGTGTATAAGTGTGTGTGAAAAGTATAAGAATCTAATGTAAAATGAATAAGACATCAGGTCAAGGACATACAAAAGTCTAAGGGAAAACTTTGCCACATTTCAGTATGTATGCTATAGATACTATATTTTAAATTTAGTTTATCGTAATGAAAGAACATTGTTACGTAGACATCGTAGCCAAAGTATATCAATTTAATATAATTTTCCATGATGTATGGCTTATATTTTCATTTCACCTTATACAATTACAGTAATCACAGTAATGTACCCTATCGAATGCCTGTAAATATATGTAAAATTATGTAATCACGATCGCCCACGCGACTAGATAGCCAGGGTGGTAAATAGACTAACTTAATGTAGCTTATACTACAAATCCTCAGTGCCTTATATATGTATATATTTTTTTTCATATTTCATGTAGTTCATGTATTTTTCATATTTCAGGTATTTCATGTCTTCAAAGACTTCCCTCAACACAAAATCAACTTCCAAAATAATCTAACAAGAGCAAATCCAAAACGCAGTATTACCACACCGATTTCTGGACACTCGGCACCCGCTACAAATACGGGAAAAGGTGTCCAGATTTATGCGAGACGAGAACAAAGGAGAGAAAGAAGGAAATGTGGCTAAAGGAAGGGCATGGCAGAGGGACAGCCAGAGCCAACCCTCGTGTACTCAGCTTCATGGATGAGAAACTTCCCGAACTCACTTGAGGGGAAACAAGGTGACACTCATAAAAGGGGAGGAGCGAGAGAGAGCTCAGTTCGAGGCCATGATATCACTCATGACGAGGGACGCAGGCTCATGATGGCGCGGGGGAGAAAGAGGGGAAAAGGGAAAAAAGAAAGGGGGGAAGAGTTGAAAATGGGGAAACAAATAGGGAAAAAGGAGGAAGTAGGAAAAGAGATAGGGAATAGGGGAAAACGAGAGGGGGGAAAGAGGGAAAAGAGGGGAAAAGAGGGAAAAGAGGGGAAAAGAGGGGAGAAAAAGGGGAAAATGGGGAAGAGAAAGGGGAGTGTGGGGGAAACGAGAGGGGAAAAGGTAGAGGCAGGAAAAGAGAAAGGAAATATGGGAAAACAAGAGGGGGGAAGTGGGAAAGAGAATGAAAGAGTAGGAAAATAAAGGGGAAGTAGGGGAAAGAACAGGGAAGGATTAGCCGAGGGGAAGATTACTTTAGAGAAACAATTCAGGGGAAACTAAGAGATGCGTATTAGAGTACTGTGAAAAAAATGTATACTTTAAACGATGGTATAATCGTGATGGAAGAGTTAAAAATGAGTTAGAGAGTGAGTTGTAAGTAAAACAACCGAGGGATGAACAGGAAACACAAAGTCATGCTCAAATTTGTATATTTTCCTTCTCTCCTTTTGCTTTATCTATTGATTGATATGATGTTGATTGTTTATTTTTATCATTTTTTCTTGCATTCATTCTCTCTCTCTCTCTCTCTCTCTCTCTCTCTCTCTCTCTCTCTCTTTCTCTCTCTCTCTCTCTCTCTCTCCCTCTCTCTCTCTCTCTCCTAT